AGATGCTGTCTAGGTTTGTCATTGCTTTTCTCCCAGGGGTCCTTTACCTTATTCTTTTTTTTTTACTTTCACGTGCTGTGCGGACCCTACATACCCAAGCATTTGCCTCTAACAGCCAGGCACCTGACGCCCCTGTTAGGCTGACCTGTAAGCTCAGGTGACCAAAATTCAGAGTCCAGCCTTCTAGATGCTCAGGGCAAAATTGTTTGCCTGCCTGGTGGCTCCCTGCTTTGGCCACAGATACCTGCTGGTGCATTGGGAACCTCTGGCAACCGCCTGGTGCAGAAAGACAAGCCTTGTTGAGCGTGGCTGAGTAATCCTGTCAGTGAAGCTGCATGAATTCTCATTCCGAAGCAAGGCCCACTGCCTCCCCGAATCACCCCATTAAATTGCTAATATCTTATTGTTTTTTAAGATTCTGCAACTTGCTGGGAAATGTTTATAATTTTTTTCCTCTCCCTGCCTGCAGTCACTGTGCCTAATGCCCAGTCATTGAGTGCCATATGTGTTTATATGCACTGCAATTTTCCACTTGATTACATTTTACCACAACCACTTTGAGCCACTCTGCAAAGGAGGCAAAACATCCATAACGCCCACAGCAGCCCAGGCAGATGAAGCCCAAAGATGTGAGCATCCAACCCCCGAGGCTGGAGGAGTAGAGGGGGGGGGGTGAGGTTACAGTAGATGACCAGCGACGGTCATGGAAAAGCAAAAGTCTGTAGCCTCTCCAGGTTTGCAGTTAAAACTCAGCCTTCCGCCCCCTCTGCAGTAGCATAAGAACTCAGGGAACAACACTGGATTTAAGCAGGAAAAGTTGATGGCCTCATTATAAGCTTTCCAGCAGCTCCCAGTGGTCTAAACTCACCCAAATAGGAAGGAGAATCAGGGCCAGAGCTCTGTGAAAAGAAAACAACGGAACAAAGCACACCATTACTCTTTTTCCCTAATTTACTATCTGGGAAAGCTTTTCTGCCATTCTTTTTAAAAAAATAATTCAATGCATTAACAATGTTAACCTCAAGATAGATCCACCACAGAATGAGATTTTTCCTTTCCTTGCAAGAATATTTTAGGAATCACACAGTGCCGAGAAGACATCGTTTTAATTTTGCTCAACGTCCAGGTAAGCGGTTCTTTTTTTCAGCGCTCTGATCCTAAAGGTGGTTCTCCTTAGTTTTTTTTCCCCCTTGTTTTTTTGTTGTTGCTCTACAACAGAGTAGCAAGTAAAATGTGATTTTCAAGAATAACCGAACAGTTTGCTTCCTGATTTGTCTTCCTGGCAGCCCATATGCACTTCTGCCCAAACTGAGGGCTCGCAGTGATCTCCCGATCATGACTTTCAGCGTTTCGTCAAGCTCTGTACATTTCAACATCTCCTGATCGATATTGCGAAGCGTAGCCAGATTGTCACACTTCTCTGGGTTATCACGGGGAAAAAACCTTCTACTTAATACTTGCAAAGATTTTGCTATCTTCTGTCGTAAGAAGGACATATTTTCCTGCTTCCTGAAGCTTAATCGAGTACCGCAAGGATCGGTTGGTCTTATGAATCTGCGGTCAGTTGGTCTGTAGTTTTCCCCTCACAGAGTTATCGTTTCCAGAACCTTAACAAACTACAGTTCCCGTATATATATATAATGTTAGGGGGAAATCTAGGTGTGAAGTTGCTCAGTCATCCAGCTTGTCGGGCAGAGCCCACGGGTCCCTGCGGAATAAAGGAAGGAGTCCAGCCCACCGGAGCAAATAGCTGTAGACCAAAGTTTATTGCGCAATAGATTCAAAGAGCAAATTTGAACCCCGAGGATGGGGTGACAAAGACTTTTAAAACTTTCCCACCGTATCCCAGAATACAGTTCGTATAACGTCATTGCTACATCACTGACATGTCACAAAAGGGGAGGGGTTAACCTTGGCAAACATGTCCAGACAAGTCCTTGGTACAAGATTAGCATAAGCAGACATGGCAGGGCAAGACTCAGGTATAAGATTAGCATAGACAAAAATGTCTTAAGTACCCACCACCCAAAAGTACAATAGAACTTCCTTGGCATGTCTGGAGCCTGAGGCGAGTCAGGTGATGAGATTTGGCTTCCTTTGGCTAACAATGAGCCAATGGGAACTTCCTAGAGTCCTTTTTAAGGGAAAAGAGCTTTGGACTGGAGGAAACTGGCAAAGGAGATGATTTTATATTATTTTTTAAAGCTAGGTAACTTCCCTGAGCTGTCAAGGATACATTCAGGCATAATATTTGTAATATTTAACTTTAAAGATGTGCGCCCCCCCCCCCCCATAATTTCTGTAACTATATATATATATATATATATGGAGGAGGGGTAGTCATGTGCTCTAAATATGTGCTGAATATGTTTTTAATGTGTTGGTTGGGTCTGCCCATCTCTATAGGGGTGGGCCTGTAAGAGATCTAGCAACTAAGTTTGTCATGCCTGAGACTGACTAGATTTCTACTTTGAACTTGACAAGGAGCTGCACTGCCCTCTGCTGAATGGAAGGAGAAAACCGCAAACACACATTCCTCTTCTGTTGCAGGATAAGCTGTCAACGCAGTTCCAAGGCATGAGAATTCTACCACTTCCATCTATTTCTTACCATGTGCACGTTGGCTGGCAGTTATGCAAGCAGTCACTAAGCTACCTCATGGTCAATGGCTGGCTGCATACAACCAAGTGGTCAGGCTTTCTGCAAAGGAGGAAGAAATTAGGAATAAAAAAACCTCAGAGTTGCAGCCAGGAGCCACAATTGGGCTCTCCTGGGTGGCGCTGTGGGTTAAACCACAGAGCCTAGGACTTGTTGATCAGAAGGTCAGCGGTTCGAATCCCCGCGACGGAGTGAGCTCCCATTGCTCGGTCCCAGCTCCTGCCAACCTAGCAGTTCGAAAGCACATCAAAGTGCAAGTAGATAAATAGGTACCGCTCTGGCGGGAAGGTAAACGGCATTTCCGTGCACTGCTCTGGTTTGCCAGAAGCGGCTTAGTCATGCTGGCCACATGACCCAGAAGCTGTACGCCAGCTCCCTTGGCCAATAAAGCGAGATGAGTGCCACAACCCCAGAGTTGGTCACAACTGGACCTAATGGTCAGGGGTCCCTTTACCCTTTACCTAGCAGCGCTTACAGATTTGCTGAAGCAATTCAGCCAGCAACGTTTGCCAATACACAGATATGATAAAGTTCTGTAGGTTGAAATCTCTCTCTGTAGCCATATATATTGTTCCTAGCGGGAAGCCGATGACCTTGCACACCTTGCCTCATACATTTTTATAAAGGAAATTAAGCATTGGGGGAGCCTAGCCAATTCTGAGACATAATTTAATGCATTCAAATGCAAGGTCACGCATTTAAAATTGAGACGGCAGTTTTACATCTATAGGAACAGCGAACTGTCTCTTGGAGGGCAGCCTTTCCTGGGAGAAGCTGGTCTCAGCAACGGACAGGCAAGCAAATGTACTCCCAGGGCATAGACTCAGGGTAAGCTCTGGCAGTGCAGCAAATTTGGGCACTGATCTCTCTTATCTGTAAAATGAGGGAAACTGACATCTACTTTATAAGACAGAAGTACTGTTTCTGGGGGACAGGGGGCAGGCTGGTGTGGGGGACTCACTGGTCCTAAATGTGGGTAAAGGTAAAGGGACCCCTGACCATTAGGTCCAGTTGTGGCCGACTCTGGGGTTGCGGCGCTCATCTCGCTTTATTGACCGAGGGAGCCGGCGTACAGCTCACGTGGCCAGCATGACTAAGCTACTTTTGGCGAACCAGAGCAGCGCACGGAAACGCCGTTTACCTTACCGCTGGAGCGGTACCTATTTATCTACTTGCACTTTGACTTGCTTTCGAACTGCTAGGTTGGCAGGAGCAGGGACCAAGCAACGGGAGCTCACCCTGTCGCGGAGATTTGAACCTCCAACCTTCAGATCGGCAAGTCCTAGGCTCTGTGGTTTAACCCACAGCGCCAACTGTGCCCAAAAAGGACTGGGTGCACAGCCTGGGGGTTGTTTTGGACCCACAACTGTCCATGGAGGTGCGGGTTGTTGTTGTTACGCAACTATTCTGAGGACAATTAAGACAAAGAGCTGTGCACATTAAATGCACTGCATACATTAATCATAAGACCAAAAGGAGAGAAGTTTACTTATGACATTGATATGACCATTGCAAGAGGACCCTAGAGATTCGCTCACATTTTTGAAAGATAATGAAGGATTAAAGGAGGGTTGCGTTGGGTTGGAGAACCTTTGCCCCCCCCCCCGATGTTGTTCCACTCCAGTTCCCATCAGCCCCGACCAGCATGACCAATGATCAGGAACGACGGGAGTTGTATTACACAGTCAAAAAAATTTCAGATGTTAGAAAACAGGAGAAGTTCTTCAGCATCTTCAGATTGCAGAATCATGAAAGGGGAAATCAGATAGATCTTCAAGTTCAGGTTTTCCTCCTTAACCAGAGCTTTAAATATCTGCTCACTCTACAATGGAAAGTTGAGACATGGTCAGGATCCTGCATGAGGAGACCACATTCCATGCCCTGCAATATTGTTACAGACAGGTAGATTCCTTTTCCAGGCACCTGGAAGCTCATGATACACAATAAAACCCTAGTCTTATAAGAAGCCACTGCAGATGATTCTGTGGGGCTCCTCTGTCTCACCTCAGCATCTGAAATAAAAAGAACACTTGTTTCCTTGACATTAAAAGGTAAAGGGACCCCTGACCATTAGGTCCAGTCATGGATGACTCTGGGGTTGCGGCACTCATCTTGCTTTATTGGCCGAGGGAGCCGGCGTACAGCTTCCGGGTCATGTGGCCAGCATGACTAAGCCGCTTCTGGCAAACCAGAGCAGTGCATGGAAACACCGTTTACCTTCCCGCCGGAGTGGTACCTATTTATCTACTTGCACTTTGACGTGCTTTCAAACTGCTAGGTTGGCAGGAGCAGGGACCGAACAACAGGAGCTCACCCCGTTGCGGGGATTTGAACCGCTGACCTTCTGATCGGCAAGCCCTAGGCTCTGTGGTTTAGACATTGACATTACACAGCTCTAAAAACCACTAAATAAATAAATAAAACCTAATGTGATCCTGGAACGTCCCTCTTTTCCTTAGGATATCCCTATTTCCATGGGAGAACTGTTGGAAGGGACGCCTCCATTTTCACTGGAGAATTGTTGGAGGGTATGGAATAGGACGTTCCTGTTTTCATCAGAGAAATGTTGGAGGCAGGGCTTTCTTTCAGCCGGGACTCACCAGACCTGAGTTCTGGCACCTCTCAGGTGAGCGCCATTGCCATTACAGTGGTAAAAAGGTAAAGGTAAAGGTACCCCTGCCCGTACGGGCCAGTCGTGTCCAACTCTGGGGTTGCGCGCCCATCTCGCTTAAGAGGCCGGGGGCCAGCGCTGTCCGAAGACACTTCCGGGTCACGTGGCCAGCGTGACAAGCTGCATCTGGCGAGCCAGCGCAGCACACGGAAACGCCGTTTACCTTCCCGCTAGTAAGCGGTCCCTATTTATCTACTTGCACCCAGGGGTGCTTTCGAACTGCTAGGTTGGCAGGGGCTGGGACCGAGCAACGGGAGCACACCCCGCCGCAGGGATTCGAACTGCCGACCTGACGATCGGCAAGTCCTAGGCGCTGAGGTTTAACCCACAGTGCCACCCACATCCCTTCTCACTGGTAAGCCGTCCCTATTTATCTACTTGCACCCGGGGGTGCTTTCGAACTGCTAGGTTGGCAGGCGCTGGGACCAAACAACGGGAGCGCACCCCGCCGCAGGGATTTGAACCGCCGACCTTTCGATCAGCAAGCCCTAGGCGCTGAGGCTTTTACCCACAGCGCCACCCGCGTCCCTATTACAGTGGTACCTCAGGTTAAATACTTAATTCGTTCCGGAGGTCCGTACTTAACCTGAAACTGTTCTTAACCTGAAGCACCACTTTAGCTAATGGGGCCTCCTGCTGCTGCCGCGCCACCAAAGCACGATTTCTGTTCTCATCCTGAAGCAAAGTTCTTAACCTGAAGCACTATTTCTGGGTTAGCGGAGTCTGTAACCTGAAGCGTATGTAACCTGAAGCGTATGTAACCTGAGGTACCACTGTATAAGAGAACAAGGGTTTGTAGTGCATTCTGGCACCTCTTTTTCTAGAAAAAATATCACTGCTTGGAGGGTATGGCACGCGTACAGAGATTTGTTCAAAGGCAGAGTGTATACAAGAGAAAGAGGCAGTGCCTGTATTCCTTTTGCACGGCCCTTTAGTGAAACCACAAACCACCATGTCTCCCGCAGCCTTTACAAACACGCTGCCTGTGTCAGCCTCTGTCCCCCGTGATTCTGCTGAGCTGAGAAATATTGCTTCCCCAGAACAACAATGGCAGGCATGCCAAACGCCCACAACCTACTCTTTAAATGCTGCTGTTTAGTGCCTGAGGCACAAAATCAATATCCCCAGCAATGTGGAACAAAGTAGTGGTGGCCTCAATGTCAGGCATCTTCCCCACTCCACCAGTGAGGGTCAACTGCCCGGTATTTGCAGCCAGGGAAGGAAAAGCTGAAAGACTGTCAGCAAGCAAAAGGGAAAGAAACTCGGCATTTAAACTTTGGGGGTCTGCTGCACTCTGCACATGCACAGAAGCCCTCTGGTGTCAGGGCAGGTAAACAAAGGCTTGTTTAATAAATATTCTAAAGATAGTGGGTTCTTGCACTGAATTCCCCTCCCCCCAGTATGGCTGATAAAGGTAAAGGTAAAGGGACCCCTGACCATTAGGTCCAGTCGTGACCGACTCTGGGGTTGCGGCACTCATCTCGCTTTATTGGCCAAGGGAGCCGGCGTACAGCTTCCAGGTCATGTGGCCAGCATGACTAAGCCCCTTCTGGCGAACCAGAGCAGCGCACGGAAACGCCGTTTACCTTCCCGCCGGCGTGGTACCTATTTATCTACTTGCACTTGACGTGCTTTCGAAGTGCTAGGTTGGCAGGAGCAGGGGCCGAGCAACGGGAGCTCACCCCATCGCGGGGATTCGAACCACCAACCTTTTGATCGGCAAGTCCTAGGCTCTGTGGTTTAACCCACAGCTCCACCCGCGTCCCTAGTAAGGCTGATAGCCACGTTCAATTATCTAAAGGACCGTTACAAGGAAGATGGAGCAAGCTTGTTTTCTCCTACTCCAGAGGAGCCAATGGATTCAAGTTACAAGAAAGGAGATTCCGACTAATCGCCAGGAAGAACTTTCTGCCGGTAAGAAGTGTTTGACAGTGGAATGGATTCCCTTGGGAACTGGTGGGCTCTCCTTTCTTGAAAGTTTTTGAGCAGAGGCTGGATGGGCATGGTCATGGATGCTTTAGCTGAGATTCCTGCATCTCAGGGGGTTGGACTGGATAGCCCTCGGGGTCTCTTCCAACTCTACAATTCTATGATAGTATGATAGGTAAAGGTAAAGGGACCCCTGATCGTTAGGTCCAGTCGTGGATGACTCTGGGGTTGCAGCGCTCATCTCGCTTTATTGGCCGAGGCAGCCGGCGTACAGCTTCTGGGTCATGTGGCCAGACCCAGAGCAGCGCACAGAAACGCCATTTACCTTCCCGCCGTAGCGGTACCTATATATAAACTTCGTGCTTTTGAACTGCTAGGTTGGCAGGAGCAGGGACCGAGCAAGGGGAGCTCACCCCGTTGCGGGGATTTGAACCGCCGACCTTCTGATCGTCAAGTCCTAGGCTCTGTGGTTTAACCCACAGTGCCACCCGCGTCCCTATGACAGTATGATAGTCCTGGATTAATAAAGCGAGATGAGCGCCGCAACCCCAGAGTCGGCCACGACTGGACCTAATGGTCAGTGGTCCCTTTACCTTTACCTTTTATGGCCACTGCGCTAAGAGACAATTTCCTGGCCTGCTCTGGAAACGACATGCTCCTAATGTACTTGGAGGGTCTGTGATTTAGACCTTCTGATATCAACCTGTACAATAATGAATAACACAGCGTATCAAAAACATTGATGTCCTAAAAGACTTTGTGTATTTCAAATAGACTTTCAACAGTATTCCAACAACTAGATCGTATATGCTTTGTTTGACAGACTAAGCCAAGCATTGTTTTTGTTGGGTGTAGTGAAGGGTTAACCTTCTGTGTCTCGAGGCTGAGAGGAGGCGCTTACAAGGGAAGTAAGCCAGGACATGACGAAAGCAGCTTGGAATGCTGTGAGCTGAGTGAAAAGTGAAAGCAGCTTTGCTACGCTGCAAGCTGAGAGAGAAGGACGCAGAGAAAAATGCAGCTTGAATCAGATGGTGTGTATGGATTGTAAATATGCTACTTTTGAGCAAATAAAGTGCTACTAGAACAGAAGAAACGTGTGGGACTTGTTTTACTGCCCTTTCAACACGGACGCTGTGCAATTCTCCTAATTGCTTTATGACCTGCAGAGGCTCGCAGGGGGAAGTGTGCTGGACGCCAAGAATAAAGCAATAAATCTACCTAACAGTTTTTATATGTGATTGGGTCTTGCCTGGATAGCTCAGTTATTTAGAGCATGGGTAGGCAAACTAAGGCCAGATCCTGCCCAATCGCCTTCTCAGTCTGGCCCACAGACGGTCCAGGAATCAGCTTGTTTTTACATGAGTAGAATGTGTCCTTTTATTTAAAATGCATCTCTGGGTTATTTGTGGGGCCTGCCTGGTGTTTTTACATGAGCAGAATGTGTGCTTTTATTTAAAATGTATCTCTGGGTTATTTGTGGAGCATAGGAATTTGTTCATTATTATTTTTTTCAAAATATAGTCCGCCCGCCCCCCCACAAGGTCTGAGGGACAGTGGACCGGCCCCCTGCTGAAAAAGGTTGCTGACCCCTGATTTAGAGCACGGTGCTGAAAACGCCACGGTTGCAGATTCGATCCCTATCTGCATATTCCTGCATTGCAGGGGTTGGACTAGATGATCCTCAGGGTCCCTTCCAACTTTACAATTCTATGATTCTGTTTCTGACTGTTGGAGTCAAGGGGTGGATATAGACAGGGGACAACGACAGTATAAATAAGTCAGAAATTAGATTGTTATAACAAAAGAAAAATTTTCTATGGTAAATCGTGTTTAAAAAAATTCTGCTGTCTTGCGCCATCTGGTGTCATATGTTTATAGTGCATTCAAATAGCTTTTTTTTTTTTAACTAACGTACCTGAGTTTGAGATGGCAGAACATAAAAAAGCAGCAGCAGCAGCAGCAACAAAAAGTTTAGTGGTGAAAGATGACCAGCACAATTGCCATGTCCACATGCTCCCATTGAAAGGTGTGCTAACATTACTACTTCAAAGTGCGAGAAGTTGCTCCCTCCATGTGTTCTCCCCCTCCCCCCAGCTGCTCACATCAGCATGGGTTCAGTGTGTTTCTGTTTGGGCTCACATCAAGAGGCATTGACTGGCAGGGATGTCCTGATTCTTCGCAAAGGTGTTTACATTTTGTTTTTTTGCTGGTTAGTGTGGCGGTTGAATCATAGCTGTCAACTTACAGATTTGAAAATAAGGGACCAGCAGCCTCGAAAATAAGGGATCAACAGCCAAAATAAGGGATTTTCCAAGCACAGGTATGTTCGACTTCTGAGCCCCTCCGAGCCAAAGGCAGAAAGCCCAGCCAGCAGCCAAATGAAGCCTCAAGCAGTGGTTCCCACAGCGCAGCAACCCGGCAAAGCGGATGCAGCAAGGAAAACCACCATCACCTCTCCGCTGGGAAGCGCTGAGCAAAGGCAAGTCCCCAGGCAACGAGGCCAATTTGATCGGCACAAGGCATGCAAGCTCCACCCCCCAGTCGTTCTTAGACTCCTTATTGGGTGAGCAACGCAGCCAAGCAACACAGTTGGAGCCTCCCTCCTCCCTGGCCAGCAGGGAGGGAGGGAGAGGAGCTGCTTCCTTTGAAACCCGGGAAATTTAAGGGACATCATCAATAAGGGACAGCAGCGGGACACGGCGCTGGGATAAGGGAGTTTCCCACCAAATAAGGGACGGTTGACAGCTATGGGTTGAATATGGCCAATATCCTGTAGCATCTCATGGGGAGATTGAGCTGGAATCAGCCAAGCTAAGAGGACAAGGAGAACTTCCACAGACCAGAAGGACCATTTTAATAATAATAATAATAATAATAAATTTTATAATGAACGATTTTAGAGTGTTGTTTATGCTATACTTTTATACTGTTTTATTGTTGTTAGCCGCCCTGAGCCCGGCTTCAGCTGGGGAGGGCGGGATATAAATAAAATTTATTTTTATTATTATTATTATTATTAATTTATTATTTATACCCCGTCCATCTGGCTGCCCCCCCCCCCCAGCCACTCTGGGCAGCTTTCAACAGAATATTAAAATACAATAGTCTATCAAGCATTAAAGGCTTCCCTAAACAGGGCTGCCTTCAGATGTCTTCTAAAAGTCTGGTAGTTGTTTTTCTCTTTCACATCTGGTGAGAGTGCGTTCCACAGGGTAGGTGCCACTACTGAGAAGGCCCTCTGCCTGGTTCCCTGTAACCTCACTTCTCGCAGGGAGGGAACCGCCAGAAGGCCCTCGGAGCTGGACCTCAGTGTCCGGGATGGACGATGGGGGTGGAGACGCTCCTTCAGGTATGTTGCAGGAACCCCCCCCCCCGCCCAATCATTCAGTTTGTACAAACATTACACACACATACACTCACACACGACATACACGTTTCTCTTATAAATTCATAGTAAATCAACCGTACATCGGATTTACACCGGTCTGCTTTTATTTTGCTCCATGAAGGAAGCACTATCAAAGGGGGATGGTTTGATACAGGACGGCCATAATCCCTTAACCATACCAACACGTACTCAGAAGCCCTGCCCAGTTGGCATGGCAACCTTGATGGTCCCAGACAGAAGACCATCAAGGACACAACGGACTTGCATATGGGAGTGGATTCAATACGGACTGGAACAAAGGACAATGATCAGATCTTTCCTCTGGGGGCAGGAAACTCCCAACTCCCCTTTGTCCTCTGGAAATGACTCATGGGGAGGGGGAAAGGAGGAACCAGCCAGGTGACAAGATACTCAGGTTACTTCCACAACCCCTCCCTCAACTCCTCCTTTTTGTGATGTGTCAGTGATGTAGTCATGATGTAGTTGTGATGTAGTTCTAGGGGTGTAGCTTGGGGGATTAGTAGCTAATAAAAGTTGGGGTCTTCTTTTGTTCGGGACTTCCATCTTGCTTCATCTTGTTGTGGGTGGGAGTCCTGTCGCGACAGTTTCCAATAAAGGCCAAGCCTACAGGCTGCTGTTTTGCTCCAAATTGTCCTGGTTGGTGTCCTTGTCTTTTTGTCCAAGGGAGCCCTCGGATTCCTCCATTAACAGGTATATTGGACCGAGGCCATTTAGGGCTTTAAAGGTCAGGACCAACACTTTGAATTGTGCTCAGAAACGGACAGGGAGCCAGTGTAGGTCTGTTGCTTGCCACACTTTAGCAACATGGACCATAAAGAAGGCTGATCGCCGAAGAATTGATGCTTTTGAATTATGGTGCTGGAGGAGACTCTTGAGAGTCCCATGGACTGCAAGAAGATCAAACCTATCCATTCTTAAGGAAATCAGCCCTGAGTGCTCACAGGTCGTGAAGCTGAGGCTCCAATACTTTGGCCACCTCATGAGAAGAGAAGACTCCCTGGAAAAGACCCTGATGTTGGGAAAGATGGAGGGCACAAGGAGAAGGGGACGACGGAGGACGAGATGGTTGGACAGTGTTCTCGAAGCTACCAACATGAGTTTGACCAAACTGCGGGAGGCAGTGGAAGACAGGAGTGCCTGGCGTGCTCTGGTCCATGGGGTCATGAAGAGTCAGACACGACTAAATGACTAAACAACAACAACAACTTTAGCAACACCTCAGCTCCTTCCTTTCAGTCCGTGGGTCTATCAAATCTCCAACTCTGCTCAATTTCCATGTGAACTCGGTGCACATGAACTGCCGCCAGCACTAACACAGCAAACACGGATCCCTTCGATCAAGCTGGCGCAGCAAAAAGCAAGGAATGACATTGGAATGACTTTGAAGAAAGGAAATGGAATGGCACCTCAAAGCTTTCAGTGGTCCCTACATATGGCAACAGCCCAGTTGCCTCCATACCACCCGTTTCCCAGTTTGCAATGATCAAGGTGCCCCCCCCCCCCCGATTTGCAAATGTGTCAATCCAGCACAAACGTCGAGGCTCATTGGTGGGAGAATGTGAGTGTCAGAAAGGTGCCAATAGACATTTCTTGGCTCCCTCAAGGAAATAAAGGCCATCGCTGAGACTGTCAAAATGATTAATAGCTTATGGAGTGTGGGAGGGAAAGAAATGGAAAGGAAGGCGAGGAAAACAAAATGGGGGGGGTGGACAGCAGATGGGAGATCTATAAATAAACAGAGAGTTAAATAAATGCGGTATTATCTCAGTGCAGAGATGAGAAGGAGATCAACAGCAAAATGAAGGCAACTTTATTTTGCCAAGGCAGTGGAGTAAGATAAGAAAAGGTATAACAGCAGATTTGGCCTGGTGTCTTTAAAAAAAAAAAAAGGAAATTGAAGTTAATGTGAGGGAATAGTGGGCTTTCCCCACAACCCACCCTACCTGTGTTTCAGCACCTGCTTAATCAGAGATAATGGTGAGACTAAAAAAACCCCAATATGCAGACCACCGCTGTTAGCTCTTAAGAACTAGGGTCTGTCTCCAGCTAGACACAGCTGTAACAGGAGGGGATCCTAACCAAAGCCCAGGTGGACTCTTCTTAAAGCAGCAGACTACAGTGGTACCTTGGTTCTCAAACGCCTTGGTACTCAAACAACTTGGAACCCAAACACTGCAAACCCAGAAGTAAGTGTTCCGGTTTGCGAACATTTTTCAGAAGCCAAACGTGCTCCATTTTGAGTGTTACGCTTCCGATTTGAGTGTCACACTTCCGTTTTGAGTGTGACGCTGAGGTCTGTCTGTTTTTGCTATTTATTTTGCGTTCTTGTTGCCTCTTTTTGTTTTGTTTTTGTGACTGTGTGGAATCCAGTTCAGCTACTGATTGATTGATTGATTGATTGATTGAGTGACTGCAGCACATTGTTTATTGCTTTCATTTTATGTATCAATGGTCTCGTTAAATAGTGAAATTCATGTTAAATTGCTGTTTTAGGGGTGGTTTTTAAAAGTCTGGAACGGATTAATCCGTTTTGCATTACTTTCTATGGGAAAGCGCGCCTTGGTTTTGGAACGCTTTGGTTTGGGAACAGACTTCCGGAACGGATTAAGTTTGAGAACCAAGGTACCACTGTAATATGCAGTTGAAAAGGTTGACAATAAGACCTATGGAGGGGTTCGTGGGAAGTCTGGAGATTCAGAGAAATCTCTAAATGTGGATATTGGTATTGTTATAACTCTACGTTTGTAATATCAAATAAAAATTATTTTTTTAAAAAAAAATAGCTCAGAAACTTCATTCTTTTTTGTGATTTTGCCACAGATTGCTCAACAACTTTGGGCAAAACTAAAAAATGCTCAGCAACTTTTTTTTTACTTTTCAAAATATGGCAACCATATACCTATTTCCTATTACCGCTGGGCAATGACAGAGGTTAAGAAAATAAAAGCCTGGATATTATAATTTACAGACAAAAGAGTGTTGGTTAGATTGGAAGCCCATTGGCCAGAGCCTGGTTTTCTAATCTGTTTTCACGGTGACTAGTGTTTTATGCACTTCACAAGTACTAAAATAACAACATATAAAATATAAATAACTATTTTTAATATTTGTTTTCTCAATGAGCTGCCTCTTTTACATGGTCCCTATTAAAATAAATCACACAGAGAAGGGCAATCTTGCTGTCCAATCCAAGATGATCCTTGCTACACTGGAACCTGGCTTATTTGTCTAAAAGCGTCTCTTAGCTCAAAAATGGAAACAACAGGAATTACCAACGATTGTAGAGTGGCAGATGAAGATGATGGAATATGCAGAATTTGCAAAGCTGGCTGGGAAAATCCGAAACCAGCACCATCAAGCTTTCCAAAAAGACTGGGGTAAATTTGTACAATATTTGAAGGACAATTGCAAACAATTAACAACACTAGCAGGATTCATTTAAAAACACTTGTAACGATTATGACTCATACCTTTTTATATTTATTTAAAAACTCGATAATTGAATTGAAGCAAGATAAGCAGGAAAAGATAAAATGCTATGACATAGAAAGGAAGTATGGTAAAAGGAAGGCGGGAGAGAGGGAAGTCGAACAAAAAGTACAGTGGTACCTCAGGTTAAGTACTTAATTCGTTCTGGAGGTCCGTTCTTAACCTGAAACTGTTCTTAACCTGAAGCACCACTTTAGCTAATGGGGCCTCTTGCTGCCGCTGTGCCGCCGGAGCATGATTTCTGTTCTCATCCTGAAGCAAAGTTCTTAACTCGAGGTACTATTTCTGGGTTAGCGGAGTCTGTAACCGGAAGCGTATGTAACCTGAAGCGTATGTAACCCGAGGTACTACTGTACTGTGAAAAACAAGGATGCATTTAAATGTTATAAAATGGAAATTTAATAAAATATGATTAAAACAAAAACAACCTGGCTTATTCATATACCTTGCTTTCCCAGAAGCATTGTCAAACCATAATAGTCACAGAGAAAGAGTAATCATAGCGACATAGCCAGTCTCACAGAGACCCTACCCAGCAGTACTGAAAGTGCCCAATCCCATATTCCTCTTGATGAAACTGCATTGCAATACCTTCCAAGTGTCCCTATTTCCACGGACAGGCCTGGAATTACAGAAGCCATCCCGGTTTCTGATTGGATCTCAGAATGTCCCGCTTTTCCTTTTTTCCTCTCCTCCACGTCTCGGAGAACAATTAAAAGTGGTTTGTGTGTGTAGGTGCAAAAATGGAGTCCTGTTTATGCTGCAAATAAAATTCCCGCACCAAATGAAGGAAATGGTGAAGCTGACCGATGATTTTGAAGGAAAATGTCACCCATCCAAATTTAAATTATTGAATTGCAGGCAGCCATTAATTTTTTAAGGAAATGCCTTTACTGCTTTTTCCTTTATTGTAAATGGAGCCTTACACTGTCTACTGAGAAGTTAAGTCCCACTGAATGGAGCTTACTCACAGGTAACTGGGTAAAGACAGGGCAGCCTTGCACTGCAATCCTAAGCATTTTTACTCAGAACTAAGTCCCACTGAAGGGACGCGGGTGGTGCTGTGGTCTAAACCACAGAGCCTAGGGCGTGCCGATAAGGAGGTCGGCGGTTCGAATCCCTGTGACGGGGTGAGCTCCCATTGCTCGGTCCCAGCTCCAGCCCACCTAGCAGTTCAAAAGCACATCAAAGTGCAAGTTGATAAATAGGTACCGCTTCAACAGAAAGGTAAACGGCGTTTCCGTGTGCTGCTCTGGTTCGCCGGAAGCGGCTTAGTCATGCCGGCCACATGATCCGGAAAAACTGTCTGCGGACAAACGCCGGCTCCCTTGGCCGGTAAAGCGAGATGAGCACGCAACCCCAGAGTTGTCCACGACTGGACCTAATGGTAAGGGGTACCTTTACTTTTACCTTTTAAGTGCCACTGAGTTCAATAGGATTTAGTCTCTGGTATTTTCCTCATCATTCTCACAGTTTCCATGATTATGATTATTATATCCCACCTTTTTCCTAACAGGCGTTAACGGAGAAATCCGAGGGCTCCCTTGGACAAAAAGCAAAGACACCAAGCAGGAATATTAGAGCAAAACAGCAGCCAGTAGGCTTGGTCGCGACAGGACTCCAACTCACAAAACGAAGCAAGATGGCAGCCTCGAACAAAAAAGCCCCAAAACTTTTATTAGCTGCTAATCCCCATATCACCCCCCCCCAAACTACATCACTCATACATCATGGTTACATCATGAAAGGGGAGGTCTGGTGGCAGTAATCTGAGCATCCTGGACCCTGCCCCATGGTTCTCCTTGCCCTCCACCAAACACCCATCAAGTGTAACAAAAGACATATTTACATTTCCCTGTTTCCCAGCCAAGTTAATCACACCCTTTTGTCTTCATCTGGGTTTGTTATTTCTGGAATGGCTACCTGTCTGGCACTCGGGTATCAGGATGCCAGGAATTATCACTCAGGCAGAGGGGCTGCTGAGTAGCTGAGCTCACATGTCTATATGAATTTCTGAAGTTTTCCCAGTGAGCCAGTACAGAGATACATTTATCAGTGAATTGTTACATTTGGTATCGTGCAGCAAAGGCCCTTTGAATAGATAGGAAGAAACTGTGATGAAATGTTTTGTGGGGACAAATCACAAAAGTCACAAAAGCGATTGTGCTGATTTTGGTAGTGGGCTGAATGTGCATGATATCTTTCTTTTTTTTATAAGATATTTATTAGGATTTTCAAAATATTACAAAATAGAAAAAGAAAAAAGAAAAATACAAAATAAAAATAGTTAAAAACAATTCAGTCTTTCAATCACTTATCTTTCATTTGCTTGTTTCCCGGACCTCCTCATACCTCCCTTTTTTGTATTCCAGTTCTGTTTGTTGGTTCAGAAAATCCTTACCCTCTTTATTTGTCCTAATCTTTGGTCTTAAAATAGTAACGTTAGATTTTTACCTCTTAACAACCCATTTTTCATATTCCCTTAAAGCATTACAGCTGGAAACCACTTAATTTCTATCCAACATCGTTCTAACATTCATTAATTTTACAATATTTCTGTAGATAGTCTTTGAACTTCTTCCAATCTTCTTCCACCGACTCTTCTCCCTGGTCTCGGATTCTGCCAGTCATTTCTGCCAGTTCCATATAGTCCATCAACTTCATCTGCCATTCTTCCAGAGTGGGTAGATCTTGTGTCTTGAATGTGCATGATATCTGCTGGAGGGGCAAACCCCCCCCCCAACCTATACATAAATTCCTGCAACACAGAGACTTAAAGCAGCTAGCAGCTCACATTTTATTTCATTACATTTATCTGTTGGAAGGTGTTGTACATGATCCCTTCCCTCACACATTTTTTTCTTTACAACCACCCTGAGAGGTAGGCAAGGTGGAGATGTTGTAATTGGCTCCAAGTGACATATATGTGCACAGGACATCTATGTTTGCAGCGAGATCAAACAGGGAAGAAGTTTCCTGATGTAGAATAGAATATCTGAGAAATGTTGGAGGGTATGCTCCTTTATAGGACCGGCGCTGTGGGTTAAACCACAGAGCCTAGGACTTGCCAATCAGAAGGTTGGCGGTTCGAATCCCCGCGAGAGGGTGAGCTCCCATTGCTCCGTCCCTGCTCCTGCCAACCTAGCAGTTCGAAAGCACATCAAAGTGCAAGTAGATAAATAGGTACCACTCCGGCGGGAAGGTAAACGGCATTTCCATGCGCTGCTCTGGTTCGCCAGAAGCGGCTTAGTCATGCTGGCCACGTGACCCGGAAGGTGTACGCCGGCTCCCTCGGCCAATAAAGCGAGATGAGCGCCGCAACCCCAGAGTCGGCCACGACTGGACCTAATGGTCAGGGGTCGCTTTACCTCTACCTATACTGTACACAATTCATTATTGTTATATATATTTTCCGTTTCTTATCAAGAACATTCTATTATATACTTTCTTTGTAGTTCAAGATTCATTCTAAGTCTGCCAGGAGTTTACCATTGTCACAATAGATTTTAAGATATTCTTGAAACATTATCAAATCTTTATTAACTTTCTGTACCGAATTTCCTCTTAATCTCCCTGTCATCCTTGCGAGTTGTAAATATTCTAGAATCATAGAATCATAGAAGAGTTGGAAGAGACCACAAGGGCCATCGAGTCCAACCCCCTGCCAAGCAGGAAACACCATCAGAGCACTCCTGACATATGGTTGTCAAGCCTCTGCTTAAAGACCTCCAAAGAAGGAGACTCCACCACACTCCTTGGCAAATTCCACTGTCGAACAGCTCTTACTGTCAGGAAGTTCTTCCTAATGTGTTTTTTTTGTGTGTGTTTTTTTAGTTCTTCCTAATGTTTAGGTGGAATCTTCTTTCTTGTAGTTTGGATCCATTGCTCCGTGTCCGCTTCTCTGGAGCAGCAGAAAACAACCTTTCTCCCTCCTCTATGTGACATCCTTTTATATATTCTAACATTTTTGTTTGCCAGCCGGTTTGTGTGAGGTTGTTATCACTTTTCCAATTCTTTGCTATTAAAATCCTAGCCGCTGTGGTTGCGTACATGAAAAGAGGTCCACGATTTCTCTTGATTTCCATTGACATAATTCCTAATAGAAAGGCTTCAGGTTTTGGGGGCAAAAGAGAATTTAAATATCTTTTAAATTTCATTATATATGCTGTCCCAAAATGTAAAGCAGTACAATGAGAAGAATCGGAAGTTAGTGTCCAAGGTGTGTTGGTGTTGTAATGTGGGTAGTATATATTGTCTGTATTATAAGTACCATATTTTTCGCTCTATAAGACGCACCAGACTACAAGACGCACCTAGTTTTTGGAGGAGGAAAACAAGAAAAAAAATATTCTGAATCTCAGAAGCCAGAACAGCAAGAGGGATCACTGCGCAGTGAAAGCAGCAATCCCTCTTGCTGTTCTGGCTTCTGGGATAGCTGCGCAGCCTGCATTTGCTCCATAAGACGCACACACATTTCCCCTTACTTTTTAGGAGGGAAAAAGTGAGTCTTATAGAGCAAAAAATACGGTATATTGCCTAAGTTAAAATTATGAGTGATGTGTAAACTGATGTTGATTGATGTTTAATAAAGATTAAAATTTTAAACAAAACAAAAAAATATAGGGCCAAACTATACAAAATGCTAAATGTGCTCTGAAAGTACATTTTTCTCAGTAGCATTGCTGTAAGGTAAAGGTAAAGGGACCTCTGACCATTAGGTCCAGTCGTGACCGACTCTGGGGTTGTGGTGCTCATCTCGCTTTATTGGCCAAGGGAGCTGGCGTACAGCTTCCGGGTCATGTGGCCAGCATGACGAAGCCCCTTCTGGTGAACCAGAGCAGCGCACGGAAATGCCGTTTACCTTCCCGCCGGAGCGGTACCTATTTATCTACTTGCACTTTGACGTGCTTTCGAACTGCTAGGTTGGCAGGAGCAGGGACCAAGCAATGGGAGCTCACCCCGTCGCACGGATTCGAACCGCCAACCTTCTGATCGGCAAGTCCTAGGCTCTGTGGTTTAACCTACAGCGCCACCCGCGTGCATGCCCCCAAATTCGCCAGGCACTACATTGTGTGTGGAGGTTTAACCCTTTTCTTCCCAGCTGCAATCACTGCAACCCCCACTACTGCTCTTGGCTATGAACCCAAGTTGGGGGTACCTTCCATTGGCGCAATAGTTGCCAATAGTTGCAAGCTATTCAAGGAAGCTATAAGGTAGTGAAGCTGTAAAGAACATGTCTAAAAGTTGAGGTTTTATTAATAATGGAAACACTATGAATTCTAAGTAATTCAGAGTATTTTATCCACCACTTAAAACGCAAGCACTAAAAATACAGCAATTCAAAGGGTGCTCAAGGCAGTCCTAGTGCTTTCTCACTAAATTTCAAGAATTCTGCTAGAGCTGTGTGTAACAAGAACCATTTATCAGCTGTTTCCTCCAGTTATCGGACGCAGAAAGAGGGAGATTTGCCCAAAATTGTTTCCCTCCCCGTCCAACTAACGGAATTCTTACCATCTACCGAACAACACTTATTTTTTTAAAAATATTCATGTTGACACCACACAGATGGAGTCTATCTGTTTCCCAAACATCTCTCTCACTAGCAATGTGTCTGAAGAACTCCCAAGAGGAAATTTCCACTTTTTTAAAAAATATATGTCTATACAAAATGTCTATATTTCTCTCACACACGCCTCCCCCCACCCACTTTCTTCACTGTTCTCCTTCAGCTGAGTGCGTTTAAATACAAAAGCATGGGCACTGCCAATTATTGCACTCATCTCAACTCTGTACTATCCAAGTAGCAAATACCGTATTTTTCGCTCCATAAGACGCACCTGACCATACAGGCGCACCTAGTTTTTAGAGGGGGAATGCAAGAAAAAAAATATTATTTAAAGGGAGCGCTGAGCTGAGCCTGTATGCATCCCAGGCTCTGCTCAGCACTCCCTTTCACGAGCCGCATTGAGCGTGTGTGCGGTGCTTGCAGGCTTTTCCCCAAGGAGGGAGAAGGGATGCTCCCCGTGCCCTGCGGAGGCTTCGTGCGAAGCTAGAACAGCGAGAGAGAGCGCTGCGCAGTGCTCCCTCTAGCTGTTCTGGCTTTGGGATACCCCCGTGAAGCCTCCGCAGGGCAGCAGGATGAAGGCTCCCCGTGCCCCGCGGAGGCTTCCTGCGGCTAAGCCAGAAGCTAGGACAGCAAGAAGGAGCGCTGCACAGTAGTCCCTCTAGCTGTCCTGGCTTCTGGGATAGCCGTGCAGCCTGCATTCGCTCCATAAGACACACACACATTTCCCCTTACTTTTTAGGAGGGAAAAAGTGTGTCTTATAGAACAAAAAATACGGTATGTTCTTCAACCTCACATACTGTGCCTACAACTTAGCTGTCATCCTGTTTCCAGGGTTACCAGGCTCAAAACCTGCTGCTCATTTAAGTGTCCCTCTAAGCACCTTGACTAGGTCCCCGTCCCCCCCCGAAAAAAAATTGCTTTGGAAGGGCTAAGCACAAAGCTTAAAAACTGAGGACAGGAAAGTTTTTGTTTGTATTTGCTGAACTTGATTTATGTTGCTTAATGTGATGTTCTCCCTGGGTACGACATGCAAATGCCTCTTATTTCCTCACCATGATGAAATCTGTAAGTTAAATAAAAAAATCCGAGAGCACGCACTGAATGTGATCCTCTTACGATCCCGGTTGCAACAAAGCATCACCCTTAAGACACCACCCCTGTCAGTCAACCCATATTAAAGCTATTAACCTGTCTTAACAACAGCAAGGATGTCAACACCAGGGACATGTGCAGGAACAAAATTTTGTAATTCATTCTGCACCTGTGGCAAATCCCAGCTACCTATCAACACCCTTTCCCT